CCTAAAGGGTTAGGGGTGCAAGGGTCTTGTAATTTGATAGCTTTAAGACTTGCGTGCTTCAAATGCCAGAGTTTCAGAGTCAACATTTTGGTTGCTAAGCAAAAGCGTTATTAAGTGAGTTTCACCACATTTTACAAGTTGGCCACGCCCACCCAGTCACATGGCCGGCAAGCCACTCCCACAAAGCAGGCCACACCTACAGAAGAGGTTCTAAAAAAAAATTTGAAACCCACCACTGTTACAGCCATAAGGTTCTTTAGCACTGTAGCCGTGGTGGCTCAGTGGGTTAGAATGCAGTATTGCAGGCTAACTCTGCTGACTGCCAGGAGTTTGATCCTGACTGGCTCAAGGTCAGACTCAGCTTTTCAGCCTTCCAAGGTCTGTAAAATGAGGGTCCAGATTGTTGGGGGCAATGTGCTGACTCAGTAAACCGCTTAGAGAAGGCTGCAAAGCACTGTGGAGTGCTATATATCTCTAAGTGCTATGGTGCTACAACCTGTTGCATACTAATAGCAGATTGATAGAACATCCCTGTCTTTGAACAACCAATCTAAACCGAGGTTCTCATTTGGGTGTTTCTGCCTCAATATTATTTCTAAGTGTTGCCTCCTTCTCTTTCTACCTGCAGGGATTCGACAAAGAAGAACTTCTGCAGTGTATCCAGAAGCTGGTGGAAGTTGAGAAGGAATGGGTACCCTATTCCACCTCTGCTAGCTTGTATATCCGCCCTACTTTAATTGGGACAGAGGTGGGGATAAAATACCTTTTCTTTTTGTTCCTTCTTTCCTTCGTTCCCTCTCAACAACCCCAGTGGCAAACCACCATCACACAAAAATAGTGATGTCAAGCCAAGCCAATGCTTATTACAGTCAAAGACCAGAACGAATTTAAAGCACGCGAGGAACATCCAGTTTTTTAAAAAATCTAGACTAAAATAATAAATAACCATTAAATCTATATTAAAATCACAATTTGGCACTCAATCTATCAGTTGCACAAAATGAACCAAACACAGCATGACATAATATCAATCCTTAAACTGTGAGGCCCACAGTCATTAAATACTAAAATGTAAGAAATGTTTAATTCAGAAATAGCTACGATGGATTAATTAATCACCTGTTTCCAACAAATCCCCAGGGCTGCTGTGCAAAATCTAGCCATCTTGTGCTGACATTGTGATGTCCACAACATCTCACTTTTATGTGCTCATTTCCCCACTATCTGATGCAAGGCTGTAAGAGCAGTATCACATATGTTTTATCTCTTCTCAATCCCCATTCTGGACTTATCTGGCATCTTCTGTGAATTTTGTCAGTGTATTATTGCTTTCTGGGGAGCCAATGAATACAGGTAGTCCTCAATTTACAACCATTCTACCATATGAGCCATGGTGGTGCAATGGTTAGAGTGCAGTAGTGCCGGCTACTTCTGCTGACTGCCGGCTGACTGCAATTTGGCAGTTCAAATCTCACCAGGTTCAAGGCTGACTCAGCCATCCATCCTTCCGAGGTGGGTAAAACGAGGACCCAGATTGTTGTGGGCAATAGGTTGACTCTGTAAACCTCTTAGAGAGGGCTGTAAAAGCACTGTGAAGTGGTATATAAATTTAAGTGCTATTGCTATTTATTTAGCGACCAAAGTTGTAACCGCACTGAAAAAAGTGACTTATGACCAATCCTCACGTCAATGTCCATTGCAGGATGCCCATGTGATTCAAATTCAGGCGCTTTGGCTACCAGCATGTGTTCATAACAGTTGCAGGGTAATGGTGTGTGTGTGTGTGTGTGTGTGTGTTATGCAATTACCATTTGCGAATTCTCCAGTTGGCTTCCACCAAGCATAGCCAGCGGGGAAGCCAAATTCGCTTAACGACCATGTGATTCACTTAACAAATGCAGTGCTTCGCTTAACAGTTGTTCCAAGAAAATTGGGTGCAATTCACTTTTAGCAAGTGCCTTGTTTAGCAACGGAAATTCTGTTCCCAGTTGTGATTGTAAGTCAAGGGCTGCCTGCAACAACAACAAAAGACTGCTTAAGCTGAATTTTCTCTTCTGCTTGGAGTAGATCCTTGGGGCAATGATTGATGTCTTCTTTCGGATTAGGAGAGCTAGTTCCACGGGAGTTTATCTAGTGTTTCCTTAGGGATAGGAGAGGAAAATAAAATGAAATACAGATTGCTTTGCTTTTCCTAGGCAATCTTTGCAAAAGTGAAAAAAAACAAAACACCAAGAATTTACTCCTGTTATGGTTGACAATAGTTCCACCTAGTGGCAATCTTTTACCAGTTCATTACACACATTGAAATGTTACCCTCCTTTTTCTCCTAAACATAACAAGCTGTGCCTACTGTGAAGCAGTCCGTCGATTAGGACATACGAATGGTGGGGGCAATAACCTTTGCTAGATGTCCACCTGTATAAAACAATCATTTCATTGCCCCTTAAAACATGAAACTTTTCCGTCCCAACGTGCATTTAATGTCTGGGTTCTGACATTGCATATTGAAGGGGCTAAAATGGGACTGAATCATTTATTATTCAACATTCTGTCAAGAACCCAGCCCTTGATTGACAGGTCGTGTGAACTGCACTAGTTTATCAAATCATAAGAAGGCCTTTTTATATGTTGCAGCTTGGTGTTTGAGCATAGACATTGCGTTTAAGTGACAAGTCTGTGTATGTCCCTTTGAGGAGATCCTCAAAGAGAAATGTTCTAAAGCAACTGTTGTACAAGTCGTCCTGAGTTAACAACAATTGGGATCCTCAACTTCACTACTAAGCAACGTGATTGCTAAGTAAGACATCACATGACTGCAATAGACTTATAGCATCACTCTGTGAGATAAAAACCCGATGATCAAATCCTCACAACACAGAGACAAGTCTGGTTCACAATTCAAAAAGGTTTATTTACAGAAAAATAAAAAGCGCTTGCAAAGGCGGCCTCCAAATGTCCTCGCAAGTGGATCGAGGACAAGGAGAGCAAAGAATAGCATTCAAACAACACATTTTATAGACACTACTCCTAAGAAACAACACCCCCCCTTCCTGCTCATTCATTTATGTCGTTTCTTTCATCATTCCATATTCTAAAGGGTCAACTTGACATATTCTTGAGAGGCCCCTATCTCTTATTTAGTTTTTCTGTTGCCTTTTGTCTGTGCAGATGGCTTCCTATCTAACTTGTACGTAGTCTTGGAAAAACAAAGTTTTATCTTATCCTATTTACTTAGCACATTTTGTAGTTAGTAAAAACATAGTTACTTATTACACATTTTAGGCAAGAATCTAATGGCTTATACATTTAACATTGTAAAAGAATACAAAAGCAATCTTTTAACATTTTATAAAAGAGTCACTTAATACCTTTTCCTTCAATCCTCACTTTTTCTTTTCTCAGTAATTTACTCTTTTATACCTGCAATTTTTTTATACCTACAATAATTCATAATGTCCTAACTTCTCCTTAGGTTCATATGGTAGCAGGTTTTTACATTCAGAGTTCTCCATCCCCTGCTTCCCCACTTTCTGCCAGTGTTCCAAGTATCATGTAGAATTAAATCAGAGTCAAAGGCAAAATGATCCTTAAAGTTCCAATTTAATAAATCAGACATCTTAGGCACATCTGTGTTAAATCCCAATTCTGGAAATGACATCANGATCATGAAAGGAAGTTTAGAAACTTTATGTATAAAAGCTTATAATATTAATTTTTTTTTAGTTAAACTAAGAGCCAAAAAATAAAAAAGATGTTGTTAAATAAATGATTGATAATGATCATAATGTAATATTTGTATTGACATGACAAAAGGGAAATTGGGTACAAATTGTAAACAGTGATTAAGAAAGGAAGTCTAGAAACTTTGTTATTAAACATAATTATTTTTTATTTAGAAAGTGGCATAAAGATATTAATGTTGCTGGATGATATTGAGAATAGATAACGGAATGCCATCACGTGGTTTTGCTTTAAATTTTGGAATATTCTATATAAAGGGACGTAAAAACAATCATCGTCATATGAAGACTGAGGTATGATGGTAGTAATACACATTATTAATATGTATTACTATCATATTAAACCAAAATTTATTTGGTTTAAAACATATAACTTGATGTGAATTGAAGATGATGACTGTGGAAGGGAGGCACGAAAGCTCTTTGTAACCAATTGACACACTCTTTACAATTTGTAATGGAAGATATTTTTGTGGTCTTTGTTGTGTTTTGTCTGCTTGTGTTTATTCAAAAATAAAAAAAATATTTTTTTTAAAAAAAACGTTGCTATCGGAGTTTCACCGGATCGCCTAACTTTCACCGGATACACCACGGCCTTTCGTGACACCAATGCAATTTTAGATTGTGCTTTCTATGTCAGTCAAGGGCTTAGGCCAGGGGTCGGCAACCTTAAACACTCAGAGCCACAAAGGTCCTAACCGGAAGCCCCCCCACCCACCCTGTTCAATTCTGGAGCCGACTGGAAGTCCGGTTCCCCCACTGGATAGAATTATAGTTGTAAACAAATGAAGAAAAGAATTCTATTCTATGTGCCCGCTGAGAGATGATGGGGAAACGGTTTGGAAGAGAAAAAGATGGTTTTTGTGTACACAAGAGAAAGCATCAATGTCACATCTGTCGGCACATCTGTTTCTCAAAGAAGCAGGTCCTGGTCACTGCAAGGCATGCGGGATTTTTAACTGAATCGAATTCTTTGAATTGAATTCCTTATTGGCATTTGGGGGTGGTGGAGGGGGGGGGAACTGTTCCTGTGTTTATCTCTCTCAGTGTGCAGTGCAGAGGGTCGGAGTTGAAACAATTCCCATCCAGGATGTGAGGGGGGGTCTCTGTAGATATTTTCACAGCCCTCTTTTTAAGGTGGTGTTGCCAGCTGGGTGCTGTGCGCATTCACACTTGTGCTCTAAATCACCTTGACTCCGGATGCCTTCACAGCTCCAATTCGGTAAGCGAGGCGTTTAAACAGACACACACCCCTTTCCCCCACTACCACGTGGGAGCTTGAGGATCGCAATTCTGCAAAACCAACACCTCCCCACCAGAAAAGCAGGTGTTGACTGCAATGCATGCACCATTAACTGAACATAATGTGGGCTCACATGCTTCATTGATCAGGGCTGTTGTGCGCACAGCCTTCCTGTCAACAGACCGTCCAAAACCGTAAATGCTGCGTATTTCAGCAAACGACGACGGACTTTCTGTATTGTCAAACTGCCTTTTTTTTTTTAATGTGCTGGAGAAGATTTAGGACTAGTCCTCAATTCTACGTCTATCTAATGCAGATAGCCCTCGACTTACGGTCACAACTGAGCTCAACACTTCTGTTGTGCTAAGCGAGACGGTTGTTGAATCAGCTTTGCTCCATTTTACCGCCTGGCTTGCCCCAGTTGTTAAGGGAATCACTGCAGTTGTTAAATTAGTAACCCAGTCGTTAAGTGAATCTTCCCCATTGGCTTTGCTTGTCAGGAGGTCACAAGAGGGGATCACATGACCCCGGGATGCTGCGACCATCATAAATGTGAGTTAGGGATGCTGCAATGGTCATACGTCACTTTTTTAATGCCGTTGTAACTTCAAATGGCCACTAAATGAACTGTTATAAGTCGAAGACTACCTTTCCGTGACAATCTTCCCACCCAGCAGCAGCCACTTACTTGCCAGATGGGATGGGATGGAGATTTCCAATGCTCCCTGCCAGATTCCCATAAAGAAAGTCATTGGGGAAGCCAGC